GTTTTCAGTTCTTTTGGAAAAATACCCAGGAAGGGGATAGCTGGCTTGAATGGGACCTCCAATCCTAGGTTTTTGTGGACTCTCCACACTGATTTCCATAGTGATTGCACCAACCTTCACTCCCACCAACGGTGCATAGGGTACCTTTTTCCCTACAGCCCCTCCAGCATTTGTTATTGGCTGACTTCTTGATAATAGCCATTCTTTCTGGGGTGAGAAGGAATCTCAGTGTTGCTTTAATTTGCATTTCTTGAATGACCAGTGATGTTTAACATTTTTTCATATATTTACTTGCCATTTGTATCTCTTCATTTGTGAAGTATATGTTCATCTTAGATGCTCTTTTTTGGATTGGGTCTTTGAAATTTGGGGGCCTAGTTTTCTAAAATTCTTTATATGTTCTAGATAGAAGTCCTTTGTCTGAGGGACAGTCAGCTATAATTTTTTCCCAGTTTGTAAGTTCTTTTTTTGTTTGGTTGGGGGTTTTTGATTTTTGTTTTGTTTTTGAGACATGGTCTCTGTGCAGTTTGGGTTGGCCTTGTGCTCACTTTTGTAACCCTGAGGCTGGTCTTGAACTTTTAGTGATCCTCCTGTCTCAACCACCTGAATGCCAGTATTACAAGCATGTGTGCTACCACACCCAGTTCGTGGGCTAACATGGCATGCAAGGCTGGGGATGAAACTTGGATTCTTGCACTGGCCAGGTAGGTGTTTATGCCTCTGAGCTATCTCCCCAGCCCAGTAAGTTTTCTTTTTACTCTGTTGATTTCTTTTGACATGCAGAACCTCTTTCAAAAGATGAAATTCCAATTGTTCATTCCTTGAAGTATTTCTCATGCAGTTTGATTTTTGTCCATAAACTTTCTACCTTACCCTATGTCTTTAAGATTTCTACCTATTTTCTCCTCCAAAAGATTTAGTGTTTCAGTTTTAATATTTAAATATTTGATCCATTTGGTTGTAGTTTGTGCATTGCGATAGACATGGGTCTAATTTTTGCTTTCAGATGTGGAAATTCAATTTTTCCAGTACCACTTATTAAAGAGGCTATCTTTTTTTTTCAAAATTTTATTGATAGACAGATAGCAATGAGGCTATCTTTCTTCTAATGAACAAATATTTGGCCCCTTTGTCAAAGATAAGGTGGCTGAATGTATATGTAGTCAGATCTGTTTTTTGTCCAGTACCATGCTGATTTCATCCAAACTTTGGTTTCTATACCAGTGAGAAAACCCAACAGTCGTCTACCACTGAGCAATGTCCCCAACCCTATCTATCAATTGATTGATCAATTGATCTAATTTAATTTGATTTGTTTTAATAAGTTCCTCAGGCTGGCTTTGAACTTATGATATTCCTGGTTCACTTTCCTAAGTATCTGAGATCACAACTGTATGACACCCTTCCCAGCCAAATAAAAATTTCCTAAAAACATAATATGTTTGCAAATGCAGGCTTATTTCTCATCTATTTTCATGGACCATGTTAATTAAGATCTCATGTGTAGTAACAAAACTATTAGAACTATTTTTGATGCAGGAGAAAGGCGTCTGGTGGAACCTAGGAATAGGAATCCAGAGCCAGGAAGGGCCAAGATGGAAAACTTCAAGACTGCTGAGCTCTTGATGTCACCTCTGCTCAGCTTTGCATAGACTTCTCCATGGACTAACTGGCTCTCTTTGCATTTATTCCACTTAGGAGAACCCTTCTCCATCGGAAGGCCAGCTTACCCAGGGTTCCTGAGCCTCAATTTTGAGATTTTTCATCTTGAGATAGAACTTGTCCCTCAGTAAGGGCCATAACCACTGAACTCAGAGTGAAAGAGGCAGACGACCGTCTCTAGGATGGGCTGCAAACTGTGAGGCCTTCCAAGAGGGTAATATAGAAGAGGCACAGAGAAACCCACAAGTGTGAAAAACTTCAGCCAGGTGGCCAAGGTCAAGACCAACAGCACTATTCATAGGAAGTCCAGTCAGGAATCAGTCCAAATGGAAGTGACACATCTCAGCAAGAGATGGCTGAGACAGTTGCTGCATATTGACAGGGAGCAGGTTTCTGGCATCAGAGTCCAACCACAGGCACCAGCCACCCCGTACAGAGACAGAAATAGGGGAAGAGACCGTCTCATACAAGTGAAGGAGCCAAAGGAGGGACCCAGACTTACACTGCGCATCTGCCTTCTTCTGTATTTTTCACCTTTCAGACAAGATTCTTAGCGGTTTCTATCTTTCTTCCTTTTCTGAGGCTGATGGTAAATAAATTCCAGGAGAGAAGATAAGATCTGAAGGCACTAGAGAGGAGAAGGCCAGGCCAGGCAGAGCAGGTCCCTGCCTGGGCAGCTGTCTTACTTACCTTTCTCATTACTGAGGCAAAACACCCAGTACGCAGAGTTAGAGGAGGAAAGGTTTATAGTAGCTCACAGTTTGCAGAAGTTTCATTCATAGTTGGCTGCTGCAAGGCATGATGGCATGGCAGAGGGACATCACAGCAGAGAAAACAGTTCATAGGCAGCAAGGCAGCAGCAGACCTTCTCTGTGTGCCTCATATATTCCAGACCCAGGGTAAGGTACCTTTAATCCCAGTACCTGGCACTTAATCCTAGCATCACACACCCTGGATTGAGCTACCTCTCGAAAGCCCTACTTACAGTGACATGAGACTTTGGAGTGGAACATCTAAATGCAAGCCGGAACAGCAGCCCAGGGTGCACATGGCAGAGAGCCAGGCTGTGTCTTATATCTTCCTTGTGCCTGTAGAGCTGTTTACACGGGGCGAGGAAGATCTTGCATCCTGGGCACTGACTCAAAGTCCTAGGTGTTTGCCAGTCATTCTCTTGTGTCTAATACCCTTTATCGTAAGTGGGACCAGGTGCTCTGTATGAAGCCATCCCAGGAATGACGCAGCTGTCAGAGCTGCTCTTGACCTGAGGCTGGCAGAGAGTAAAAACAGAGGTGATTACAGAGTAAATGACAGGTGTTTTTTAAAAAGCCCTCCATTTTGGCTGAGACTTTTGCCCAGTAGCCTGATCATGTGGCCTTTGTAGGATTCTTGAATCAGCTCCCCACTGCTGAACAGCAGTAGCTGCAGGACACTGAGGCAAGATGCTGTGGCCTTTGCTCTCCTTCCATGTCCCTTCCCACTTCTGATTTCCAGGTGTGGCCTGGATTCTTAATAGGTTTTCCATTCTGTGGGAACAGCAAGATTCTTGATCTGTAGTTGGCCAGCCAGCCACTGTCCCCGTCCTGTCTCACTTTATATAGTTGCTTGAACCACAGTGCAGCAGTGGCTTCCTGGCATGCAGGGTAGAGTCACCTTTGTTTTGGTAGCACGGGTACCACCTGCTAACATTGCATCTGCCCACAAGTGCCTGCTTCTGAAGTGTGCTGCTACCTGACAAACTTTTGAATGCTGGTGTTTCACTAAAGCGTAATATGGCTTAAACTAACATGATGTTGCCTCAGTCCCAAAGATCTTTGGTGTCTCATAATTCTACAATAATACAGCTAGTAACTTGTGTTGATAGTGAGTGCATTGGGGATTGAATGTGAGACCTTTGTCCTAAGCTGTATCCCCAACCTTTTTATTATTTTTTAATTTTGAGACAAGGTCTGACTAGGTCACCAAGTTGCCCCAGGCTGGGGTGGAGTGTGTCGTCCTCCTGCCTCAGCCTCTTAGAGTGCTAGGAATGCAGACAAGTACCACATGGCTGGCTTAGTAATTACCTTTAAAGGTAATATTACAAAGTCTATTTGCACACTGTAGAACTGTTTAAATATTGCTTAAGATCTTCAGTAGTTGTCATCTGCTGGCAGCATCAAGGTTTCCTTAAGAAAAGTACCAAAGGTTTTGGTACTCCGCTTTGATGCAGAGTTGCAGTGGAAACCTCTTGCAGTGCGTCATGAGCACTGCAGCAGCCCAGGGGCCTCTCTGGGTTCCCAAGGCCTCCTACTCCAGGTGAAGGCTGCTTGTCCCCATTTCGGCCCCCACCGCTGAGCATTGCCTCAGAAACAAAGCTGCTTCTGTCAGCAGCAACTTGAGCACTCATACAGGCCAGGCAGGAGGCTGTGCATCCTATTGCTGAACAGCCAGAGGGACATGGCGCCCTGCCCCAGCCAGAGCAGCCGGCGATACCACCTGCCTGGTTCCCAGCTGGCCTCCCTGCTAAGTGGCCCCATATCTGCCTGGCACTTGCAGGACCACCTATGCCAATACTGGATTGTGCTCCACATCTCCAGGCCAGGTACAGGTGCCACCTGGCCTGGCACCATCTCTGTCAGAACTCTGTGACCCTGGCATTATCTCTGGCCCATTCCTTCCTCTCTCTCTGGTTGGTCACAGTCAGTTGTTCTGGCTGCAAAGGGAGATCTTGCCTAACAGATCTCACTGTGGAAGAGATGATGAAGCTGGAGACACAGAGCAAAGTCACTTGTGATGTGCCCAAGCCTCAGACCACCTGCTCTCAGCCCTGTCCCCTGGTCTGAAGCACAACCGCCAGATACTCTCTAGTCCTCCAGCATGGGAGCATTTTCCTTTTCCCTGTTTGTTTTCTGTGAGGAAGCTTCCCTGTGTCCGCTTAACATGAGAGAGCGCTGCACACCTCACATTCGGTGCTTGGTTCTGGTGTGGGCAGAGTACTTCAGGCCTAGACCTCACTCTCAGGGGCGATTGGCGGCTCTTTTGAGGATGCTGTGTAATCATTGTTTTCTGCAAATGTCAGGTTGAAACTTGATTACTTAAGTGCATCTTTGTAGTTATTTTGCAGGGCTGGCACCTTTGACTCAATCTTCCTTCTCTGTGGCCTTCAGTGGCATCTGCTGGCCGCTTCCTGCCATGCACTGGTGATCCTGCTAAGGGGTCACCCTTCCTGGACTCTGGCCTTTTCCACTGAAAAATGCTCAGAACTAACATTCCTCAGCAACCTGCCAGGCCCATGACCACTTACTGAATGTGACAGTAGTAAATAAAATGCACTCAGTGACATTGTTCATTTCTGCTTGCAGAGTCCGGCTGGTAGAAAGAGGATCTCCACATAGCCTGCCTCTGATGGAGTCAGGAAAAGTAAGTATTAAGGAAATCAGCTATGTGCCTGTTTTAGTCAGGGGGTGTGGGGACTGAAATGAAAGCTGAAGCTGGGAAATAAAGCATCCACTACTGCACGCAGTCACCAGGAGCCCTGGGTCCTTCTGTCACTACAAGGCCTTTGTTCAAAAAGGCACACCAAGGTCTAAAATGGCTGCTTCAGCTCCAGACATCATTTCCATGTTCCATCCAGCGGGAGAAGAGATGAGAAAGAGACAAATTTTGCAAAATGTAAGGAAGATTCCAAAGCTGTCTTACATTTAAATACTGAACCTTTGATCAGAATCTAGTCATATGATCACACCTAACTGAAAAGAAGGTTATAAACTTTCTGGATATTTGTAGGTCTAGTTCAAGTATCCAATACTATGGAAATGGGTGGATTATAGAATAGTTCTCGCGGGACAACTGCATCTGCCACAGTTACATTTTCCATAGAACTAAAGGTTAGGAAATGCATGTATTGAAGGGCTTTCTTTTCCTCCTTGAGTCCCAGTTGTCAGATCCCTTCCCCATATGGTATAATTCTAAAACATCTCGTATTGCTCTGAACCTCTGTAACCTGAGTCTGCGTGAATCCAGGCCAGGATTGCTCACAAAGTTGGTCCTCATGTAGAACGTGCCACCACCCCGAAGTAGCAGGCAGTGCATAGCCTGCCTGCTGCACACAGTGGTGCGCTGGTCCCGTGCTGCCACACCTGTGCACTGTTAAAGTAGCTGGGCTGCAAAAGGCTCTGTCTGCAGCTGAAAAGTAGACTTCTGACTCCTGCGATCGGCACTGTCAGTGGAATTTGGCTTTTGCTAAATTTCTGTTGTGGAGCGGCTTGGTGTTGGCACCACTCTAAGGAAGGATGTTTACCTGCAAGATGAAGCCCCGCAAGGGCACAGGAGAGTGGAAAAGTGGGGGAGGGGTGACTTTCATCCAGACATCCAATCAGAATCTGCCTGGTCTTGTTGGGGCAGGGCACATAGTCTTTTATTCTGCCACTAAAGCAGTTGAAAGCTGAGTCATTTTGCCAGAATATGGGGTGGCCTTTAGTCTACATTCATCCTTCACTCTGCCTCCATGAATTGGGGGTCACTGTACGCATTGCCCTTCATTCACACCTTCATTCCATCATGGAAATATGTTTATGGAACTAACCAAAAATTCCTATTTTGCAGATGTCAGCCTGTGTTAATTGCTGCATCATTTATCATGTTTTGGCTCAGAATTCTTTATTTTTCAATAAATTTGATTTCTTCTCCCAATTTTATTGAGGTAGTGATCTATAGAATTCTTTCTTTTAAGGTTACTTTATCACAGAAGGGTTATTGTAGTGTCATTAGAGTGTAACTGGAGTGTTTCACAGAGGCATATGCTGTACATGTGTGTGTTGCTAGAGATGGAACCCAGGGCCTCATTTACTCTAGGCAAGAGCTCTTCCACCAAGCCACATGCCCAGCCCTGGGCATATCCTTTTGATTTAATGCCATTCTACTTCCTGAGTGATCTTTTGGAAGGTGTCTAGCAAGATTGTAGCTGATGTGTGTGTGAGCTGTTCCTGTCTTTCTACCCATTGTCACATGTCTCCTCTCCCAAACAGATACTTCCTGGGGTGCGGATCATCATTGCTAATCCTGAAACAAAAGGACCACTGGGGGACTCGCATCTGGGAGAGGTGAGCTCTCTGTCCAGGGCAAACATGGCGTCCTCCCCTCAGCCCTGCTCCAGGACAGCATGGATGCTGTGCTCCTCCTCAGGGTGGGCCAGGAAGGAGCTCACAATAGGCTCTGCTGCCTATGTGAGTCCATGAAAGTTCATAATACTTATATCTGGGATATCTGAATTTCTCCTTGATTCTTGAAGGACAGTTTTTTGGGGTTTTTGTTTTGTTTTTTTGGTGGAACCGGGGATTGAACTCAGACCCTTATGCTTGCCAGGGAAGCACTTATTCCACTGAGCCATCTCTCTGGCCCAGCTATACAGATTTCCTTTTTTTTCTTTTTCTTTTCTTTTTTTTTTTCTGCGGACCTGGGGATTGAACTCAGGCTCTTGCGCTTGCCAGGGAAATGCTTATTCCACTGAGCCATCTCCCCAGCCCCCTGGAAGTTCAGAATTACAGAACAGGATGTTGTATATTGGATTCTTCTCAAATAACTGTCAATGGTGCATCCTTACTTCTTAGCTCTTGTGTTTGTCTTCCATTTTCTTGTCCTCATTACTAAAAATCATCAGGAAAGTAACAAAGAAACCTACAAAAGGAGCATGCCACAGCTGCAGGCATGGCAGCAGTAGCGGGAAGCTAACAGAACAGGAAAACTGCAGTTACGTACACCTAGGTCCACTCGGAAAGCAAGCGGTAGGACTGAATACCTTGGCTCCGTGATGCTCATGAGGCAGCCCCGGCTCCGTGCCACTTGGTCCCGCACCTTCTGGCTGGCTAAGCCAGAGAAAAACCCCTCCTTACCCTGTCTGGCCTCCATCTTGAATTCTTGACTGCTGTGCCTGTGTGGAGCCATCAGGTGCCTCCCCCACTTGTCCTGTACCTTCATTCTTCTGATGATGGGTGTGCTCCCTCAGTAGAGGAAGGAGACTCAGGATGCAGCCTGAACGCCACCTCTTGTGGCGTCAACATGTTTGCTTTACTTTCCCTCCTGATACCCACCTGAGGTGGTCCTCTGTGGAAGACCCCACTGCCCAGCCACGGTGTCTGCTGAAGTTGCCCCTGGTGTGTCCCAGCACCAGGAAAAGTAGCAGCACACTCAGGAACACACAGATCAGCATGTGACTCATAAATGAGTCTCACCTTCCGTGTTTCTTTTCATCTCGCACTACCTTTTGGGCCTTTGGCCCTGTATAAGTCAGCTTTCCTGGCAGTAAGACATTACCAACTCCTACACTTATAGGAAGAGAAGTTTATTTGGCTCCTGGTTTTAAAGGATTCAGTCTACATTTGGCAGAAGTGGCACAGTGGAAGGGCACAGCGAAGGAAAGATGCTGACATCATGGGCAGGCAGGTCAGGGGGAAAGGTGAGGACCAGAGCTAGAACTCCAAGTCAGTCTTCCAAATACACCCAGAGGTGTGCTGTGCCAGTCACCACCAGGTGTTTGTTAAACCAGTCACGTGGCTGACAGACCAGGATCCACATTCAGATCCTCAAATCTCAATCATGTACAAGAAGTGGAAATGAGACAGCGGAGTTGTATGTGGTGCTTACAGTTTTTTCTAAGTACTGTACAATCCTAGAAACAAAAGTAGAACCTAGAGCCTGCTTTCTGGGGACATCTGAAGAGGTTCCCAAGGTGCTACCTTTCTGGCTGGTGGCTTCCATGTTGGGGCCTTACTAGGCCCGAGGTCAGGGTGACCAGAACCAGTGAGATCTGCAAGTTGACTTTCTGAGACTGTATCACTTTACTTGGTAATTGAGGTACAGCTGCCGTAGTGAGTAAGGTAGGGTGTACAGTGTGGGATTCACAACGCTCCTCATAGGTGTGTGCTTGTTCAGCCAAGGAAGTGTTGTGTGCGCCTGGATAGGACCGCTGAATCGTGACGTGTGTTAGCTTCTCGTCCCCACAGTCTCCAGCCAGCCCCTCCAGTGGCATTCTGCTCTGTTTGCAGATCTGGGTTCACAGCGCCCACAACGCCAGTGGTTATTTTACCATTTATGGCGATGAGTCCCTGCAGTCAGATCACTTCAACTCTCGATTGAGTTTTGGAGACACGCAGACCGTCTGGGCACGGACAGGCTACCTGGGCTTCCTCAGGAGAACTGAGCTCACGGATGCGAATGGAGGTGAGTGCAGCGCACCAGGCAGAGGCCAGGTTCCCCTGAAAAGGAGGTTTGGCACCACCGAACCGGGAGGGCGTAGGTACCTCCTGTACCCTGCCTGGGCACAGCAGAGCTTCACAGCAGGGAGGGAAGAGGCATCCCCTTCCTGTATCCTCCTGAGAACCAAGAGCCAGATGGGGCTTCGCTAAGCACAGGCTGCATGTTTTCTGTGGTGAAGGGCCCAGAATTTCAGCTACTGATGTGGCTGCTCACCACCACCAGACCATCTGAAACCCACTGGACCAACCAGTGTGGAGGAGTGCATGCTGTCCTCCTAGGACCGTATGTGTACCTGTCCAGGATGGGGAGGCCCTGGAATCCAGCCCTCTCTGCTCTTCCAGACCACGGGGCATGGCCTGGTGTGCAGTCATGGGTGGGCAGCTTTTCCTAGTTAAGTGTCCATGGCGCTTACACCAAGGAGAACACACATGATCATCACTGGGCCAGGTGGCTAGTGAATGTGGCTGTATCCTCTGCACCTTGGACAGGTGAGACCACCAAGGACCCCCTAGTGGGAACTAGGTGTTAAGTACTAACATAACTTGGTGTTTTAGTCACAGCTGATGCGGATGTGATCACCTAGATGACCACTGGCTCCCTGGGGGGATAGACATAGCGAGGGGAGAGAACAGCCCTAGAGGGACTGTGGTGGCTGTGCACAGCCTGCAGGGGACAGGCCTGCCAGGGGCCAGTCTGCTCTAGGAGGGAACCAGACATCCCCAATTCTGGGATCCCCTGTCTTTGCTTCTCTGTCTCACTTAATGAGCAAGGGCAGTTTTAATCAAAAGAAAGAAAAAGGAAAAGAAAGAAGCAAGCCAGATGGCATAGTGGCATAGAGCTGTAATCTTAGTTCTCTAGGAGGTTGAGACAGGAGGATCACAAATGTGAGCTCAACATGAATGACTTAGTGAGACCCTGTCTCAAAATAAGAATAAAATAGAGCTGGGCATATAACTCAGTGCAAAGGCCTTGAGATCTTTCCCCAGGGCTGCAAAATGAAAAGGCAGACATGCAGCATGGTTAGCAGGGCAGTGAGTTCACGTGTGTGGTTCACCCCCAACAGAGCGCCATGATGCCCTCTATGTGGTCGGAGCGCTGGATGAAGCCATGGAGCTGCGGGGGATGCGGTACCACCCCATCGACATCGAGACCTCAGTCATCAGAGCCCATAAAAGTGTCACAGAATGGTGAGCAGGGGCAGGGGCCTTTGGGGAGCTCTGGACTATGGCAATAGAGATGACAGAGGGAAGTTCAGTGAGGTAGACTAGAGCCTCCTCGGGGGTCTCAGGGTTCACCTCTAAGGTTACTAGAGTCAGTGACCAACTGCAGAGGTCAATTTCCTGCACTACTTAAATGAGAAACTCATTGCCATGAAAACATCCTGATAATGCTTTCAGGAAGCAGGCTGTTGCTTGTGTTGTTCATTTATGAAAATGTGGCGGGGGGAGAGTTTCACACACACACACACACACACACACACACACACACACAAGTTCAGAAAGTCTTAGCTGCCTTTGGCATGGGAACTGTAAAAAGTAACAGACCCACTGGGAAAAGGGGAGGAATCTTCTGACCAGACCTTGCCGGACAGGCTGTGCAGCCAGGTGGCTAGAGTTGAACCAAGCCAAGGACAAGCGGTTCCTGCACATGCTCCCTAGCATGTGAGGGTTCAGGTGAGGCCACAGGTCCTTGAGCTCCTCAGGTGTGTGTCACCTTCTCTGGCCTGTTTATTCTGCTGTGTGAGCATATTCAAGGCCCTTCAAGGGAAACAGCAGCTGGCTCCCAGGCATGGGCTCCCCGCAGTTTCTAGTCAGAGAGGCCAGAGGTGGGAACATTGTCAGCCAGTGCTATCTTCAGCGTCTTCATGCTTTGTTCAGGCCTGAGAAGTGACTTCATGCCATTATCGGTAGATATGCTTGTTCATTTAGTGAGAGGCAAATAGAGTACTTGGCAGAGTATGATGAAACCAGTTTCCGTTCTAGCCAGGAAGGGCCAGGGTGCAATGCAGGCCTGACCCTGTGGTAAGCAGCACTGCTGTGATTGGTTCTGAGGTGTCCATCCCTCTTGTCAGCTGGCTGGTTGGCGGCAGCAGCTCAGGGAATCTGCGTGGTGAGACCCCGCACAGGATGCAGGTTGCCTGCTCAAGAGCTGGCCTGCACTGAGCCTCCAGTCACCTCCCAAATAAACTCAGATTTGTATACCTTCGTCCATCCTATGGCTTTGTGGCACACCCAGGTGTGACAGCAGCGTGTGTGTGCTCCACCTGCTGCATCACGTATGCACAGCTGAGCTGACACCTGGTCCTCCAGGTCTGTCAGGTTCAATTGCCATAATGAATTACAGCAGAGATGCCTGAGAGTGGTATGTACACTTTGATACAGCGGACTCATAGTGTGGGCTCATGTGGGACATGTGCAGCATCATTTTAGTGTCACAGATGCCCTATCTGGGAGACTTAAACCCCAGTATATCTTCTTGGAAATAGTTCTTAACAGATCATTCCCTTTTGGATGCAGCAGTGCAGATGCAAACCTCAGGAGAGAACTTCTGAGCCCTTGTATCTTAAAAGTCTTCCCCTTTATCTTAATGTGTATACTGGCCATAGTGTTTAGAAGACCATTTTCGTTCCATTTGACTTACTCTTAGGCTTCCAGAAAATAAGTTTCTTACTCTGCTTTGAACTGGGTGGGACCCAGATCAGGCAGGGGAGAGCAGATGCCCTCACGTGTACCAGTCCTTCAACGGAGGCCCCTAAACCCAGGACCGTTCTTGCATATTCCTTTCTTTACATAGCAGTACCCTGCATACACACACAGACACTCACACACACACTTACACACACACACACATCTCTGGAGCCTTAGCCTATTCACCATGCGGCCCTCTCTGCCCAGGAACCTTCTGGCCAAGTGGATCTTTATACCAGCATCCATGCATTGTAAGATCCTTACCCAGGGAGCTCTGAAAGCCAACTTTGCAAGGGGAATGTGGTTGAAAGTATAAAGCATTGTGTTATGCTTTTGCCAACTGGTTGGACTAAATATTCTGAGGTCCTTCCTGCCAAAAAACAACTGTGCGCCAAATGAAGCGTGCCTGTGTGAATTAGTTCTTACTGTGGACTGTCATCTCCAAATTTAGTATGGTGACAGAATCAGGGCCAGGACTGCACATCCCTACCCTGGTCACACACACTAACCAGGTTCCATACTGGGTCTGAGGACAGGGAAGTAGGTGACATTAAGGGAATGGTGCACGGATTCTAGGAGGGCTAGGAAAGGAGCATCCCCTCCACATGTGCACACCTTCAGCAGTGCCTGGAAGCAGGAGACAGAGGCACAGGGGCGCTTTGGGGGCAGATGTGGGCAGCATGCTGCACCCCAAGACAAAGTCAGCTCTCCAGAAGCAGCGAAGAAGTGGAAGTGGAAGGCGACTCCTCTAGACAGGTGGAAGCAAAGCCATGCTGCAGACACAGCAGTTGGAAAGATCAGGACACTGTGAGGGCCACCATGGGAGAAGACCCATCCTAAAGAGGAGCTACATCTTCACCAGAGAGGCTGTGCCTGAAATAGTTTCTGAGCAACAGCAAGTGGCCCCAGAGACAGGACCCAGCTAGAAGAGGTGGTTGGAAGTGGTCCAGCAGCTCCAAGCTGAGCCCAGCAGAACTTTTTCAAAAAGAAAACATAATCCTGAAATTAAAGACTTTACAAATAACGATAGTTTTTCTTTTCTCTTCCAGCGCTGTGTTCACCTGGACAAATCTGCTGGTGGTTGTGGTAGAGCTCGATGGGTCAGAGCAAGAAGCCTTGGACCTGGTTCCACTGGTGACCAACGTGGTCCTGGAGGAACACTACCTGATTGTAGGTGTCGTAGTTGTGGTGGACATCGGGGTGATTCCCATAAACTCCCGTGGGGAGAAACAGCGGATGCACCTCCGTGACGGGTTTTTGGCAGACCAGCTGGACCCCATCTATGTGGCCTACAACATGTAGTCTCATCTCTGGCTTCCATGGACTTTTTTAGAGATGTAAAGATTTTTCTCAGTGTCCACTGAACCATGCAGATGTGAGGACCGCAGTCGCCAGCACGGAGCCGTTGTGGGGAGGAAGGGAGGAGGCCATCCTGTGGCAGTCACCCTGGCGTGGGGATGAAATGTGACTTGGCCGCTGGAGTGCGCTCAGAAGGACTTGGCCCACTGCCTTCAGTTTGTTGGAAAAGCTCATTTCAAAAACTTTTCTTTCTTCCTTTTTTTTTTTTTTTTTAATTATTGGATAAAAAGTGCTCTCTTCGTAAATGTGGTATTTTGTTAAGCCGAAATAGCAATTAAAAAATATTCTGCCCTCCAGATGGGTTCTTTTAAACAATTTATGTAGTGTGACAAAGAATTGTTTTCTCTGTTTTAATGTGTCATAAAATCTTAATGACATGGATCTGTTACTAATTTAAGCCATTGCTAGATCTCACCCTTCTGGAACATTTATTGAGGTACGAGAAAACCTTCCAGGTAGCACCGTCCCATTAGATTTTAGCAGCTTTCTTTGTCAGAAATGTGCTGAAGAGATAAGGCCGATTTATGGCCTTTGAAATTAGCATAGGATGAGAAGAAATTATAAATAAGGTGTATTTCGGCAATTATCTTGCAAATATCTTTGTACTAAACTAAAAAGATAAAAATAAGTTAACTTCCTCAATATGTAATTATGTACAAAATGTTTAATTTATTTTGATCTCTTTAGAAGTATAAAAGAGAAAAAACATTCAAGAATATTAAAGTCTTGTAATGTTTGCTAATATAAAAAGTGTTGTATTATCTTGCGTGGATAGTATCACAACAAATATATATATATGAAATATAAATTCACTAATGAAAAAAGGAGATTTTAAAGTTTAAATGCAGAACTTGTCACTTGCATGGTGCACCCTCCACCAAACTCACATACACGCTGCCGCTGTGAGCACCGCAGGTCGCCGGTAGCCCTGTCTTGGAGTGTCTTCGGGAACCAGAGGCCAGCACGTGGGCTCACTGCCATCTCAGAGGTGGTGAAGGAACTTTAAGCTCAGTGTGCACTATCTTTTCCTTTGCCCTGGGGATGACTGTGAATGTGCTAAAGCCAGCGTGTGCTGATGACACCGAGGGGGCTGCAGGCTGGCAAAGAGCGCTTGTTTCCTTAGCTGCAAGAATTCTTTGTATCATGTTTTTCAGCCTTATAGTGTCACCTTTTTTGGTCGTTAGTATGACAAAAACTACTACTCTGTGGCTGCTGCCGCCTCCCCCAGGTTGCATCGAGTTTCCCTCTCAGATGGCTGCTGTGTGCGTGGACAGAAAATCCAGACAGTTTTAAGGGAAAACACTCGCATAAGTGACATCCCCTCATCTGAAGACCCAGCTGACTGTGAAGCTCTGGTCTCTGGGGATTCCTAGCTCCGCCCTAAGCGAACCCACCCCCTCCTGAGTTGGGGGTAATAACAGCAAGCAACCCGCCCAGCTGCACCTGTGCCCGAGGTAGACAGGTCCCTGGTCTCTGTCACTGCTGTCGCTGCTCAAACCTTGTAATTTGCAGAGTTCATCTGTGCATTTCCAACTTGAATTGGCCTGTCTGTATCCAACCAAGGAGGGCTTGGCAAATCAGGATGGATTTATTATTTTATAATGGCCCCCAATAGGGTCCTGCAGTGGCTCTCAGTACTAGATATGCATGACTAAGATTGTTGCTGGGCAAAATTTAGATTCTTTTTTTATTGTTATATTCTAGGCAGTGTCTTTGTCTGCCCTTGTTATATGCAGCCAGCAGTAAGCCCTTTGCTAAAAGAGAGTTTTGTTTGACTTCTGAGATCCAAGGCTGATTGTTTTTTTAAAAAAATAAAGTGACACAGTTTTTAAGAATAAAAATAACCTTTTCTGCATATATGGAGCATCCTTCCATCTCCACAAATCATTTAACTTTGAAAATATTGTTTGCTCATTGCCGTGTATGAGTGTTTCTCTACATGCGTCAGATACACATTCCTACAGTTTTTTGCTTCCTAAGGGGGAAAAACTACCACATATAGGGAAAAAAAAGACATTTTCTTACTCTCACACATCTCATGTAAGGAGAAGTAGGTTTAAGGTTTCAGATAGGATCCTGATTTTGAAACGTGCAGCAAACAATGCAGGAAAATGTGTGAGGTCCAGCTGTCAGGAAGCAAAAAAAAAAAAACAAAAACAAAATCAGATGTCGCATCGAACATTTAACTTCCACCATATCAACTTCACATCAAGGAGGGCGAATGCTGCAGGGCAGATGTGAGCGCAGTTAATAGCAAGTCTCCTCTGCATCCTGTCATCTCTGACATAGAGTTTAGGTTCAAAAGAGTTGGTGGGACTGGGATCGAAGTTTGTGCAAGTAACAGGAGACATGTAGGTACCACCAGTTTCAGCAATAAAGAAGGATCGTTCTGTATTAGAAATTGTACTGTAGATAAATCATTCATGAGAATGTAAAAAAAAAAAATGTTTGTCTTGTGACCTTGTGCTTTTGAAGTCAGCCAAAACCATGTAATCGACTTGCACAAAAGGAGGGTACGCAGTGAACATGGCAACACAGACCTAATCAAACAGGAGCAGATTCCTCATGGTGCTTGTTTATTATATATATTTAATCCTGCTTGACACTTTACCCAAGGGAGATGGTCCCTTTTATCAGTTGAATGTTAGCAGCGTTATTTCAGAGTGTGGTGACTGGTTAGAGAAATTCATGTACTCAACCAATCACAGTTTCAAACAAAATTTTTATGTGCAAAGGACAGCAACCTTCTTGTATGTTCAACCACCAGTACGCTTTGTACATCTGTGATAACGCCTGTTTTATATTCAAATGAACAAATAAAAGCTTTTATTTTTGTTGCTCTGAAAATAGCAGTTTTCTTATTGGTACCCCTGAAAAATGTCTGCAAAAGACAGCTTCCACTCCAGGAAAGAGGTAACTCCTGCAGGGAAGTGTATCCAACTCTGTTTATATAATTTGCTGCATAACTTAGTACAAATAATCATACTTTGAATGATGTTTAAATTTTGATGTGGGCATTTATGGCTAAAAATAACTCCTATGGCAACAAATGTTTTGTGAAATGTTTTTTTAATTCTTTTAAATATATCTCGATATATTTGTTCACATTTTGGTGCAAGTGTACAGATTATTGACAACTTTTTGGGACAGATGGTAAACATGCGTCCTGTATGCAAATACCTTCTAGTAGCTGAATCATAGGAGAGCCTTGCATATCGGTGACAGCAGTAGGTGACGTAACCATCCCAAATCACCTGTATTTGTGTGACAGCCTAGAAGATTTATCTTTTCCCCAGGGTCTCATTGCTTTGTCTTTTCGAGAGCAGTGACTAAGCTGACCTTCGGCTTTACACGTGTTGATGCGCACAATCAGAACTTGGAACTTGACTCACGCTGCCAGGAATAGTCTGAGTGCTGTAGTTTGCATTAGAACTTCACTTACCCTCCAAGCAGGTGGCTGGTGTAAGGCCTTCCTGGTTACATGGAGGTCTACAGCATATTGCAAGGAAGTGACATTTTCAGCACTAACAGTGACCAGTCAGATACAAGAAGGGTGACAGCATCACTCCTGCAGAGTTGTCCTTTAGCCTGCACGTGCACGCACACAGTGCACACGTGCATCCACTTAGCGGCACAAGCTGGCACTTTCTAGTGAGCTGTCATGCTCTACCTCCTCCCTGGCCTCTAACACAAGCCTGTGTTCTTCAGACAGGCTCACCTAACGTTTTGCTTGGCTTGTCAGTCATCATTCTGTCCTAGGAATCCTGTGACATTTCAGTGTGCTGAGATTGGGAAGATCTGTCCCCCTGAACAGAAGCAGTAACACTGGTTCTACGAAGTCCCTGGTCCAAAGGAAGCATTTGCTAGCTTCCCTATTGCCTGTGACACTCTGCCCTCACTGGCCATGGAGATCACAGTTCCTGATCCCTACAGGCACATTACACCTTTTGCTTTTCTTGTACCAGGAGTTTAACCCAGAGTCTTCCCATTGAGCTGTATCTCCAATGCTCTTTTTTTTTTTTTTTTTTTTTTTTTTTAATTTTGAAACAGTATATCTATCAGTGCTTACTGGGAAACATTTAGTGCAAGATATACAAATACATAAAGATTCACAAGATTGGCTTACGGTGCTTGCCAACAGAGCCGATGTGGCAGAGTGCAGAAGCATCCAAAGGCCTTGAGTTCCCTGCAGCGTTCCATGTGAGTCTATCAGGAGACTGACAGGGTTGCACTGGAAGCCAGGAGACAGCCCCTGAGGGGCAGGTGAAGACCTGGCCTGCCTTTTTTGTTCCCTTTTATACCATTTAGGATGCAAACCCTTTGATTGCTGTCACATCCAGGAAATCCTCAGTAAATCCCCTGAGCCACACTCAGAACAATGCTGATCCAATTTAGGTGAGTGTTTCTTATTCAGGTTGATGTTATCAGTTAACTGTCACACAGGATCTCACTAAGTTGCCCTAGCTGGGCTCAAACTCCTGGTCTTGTCTCAGCCCCCAAGTGTTGGGATTACAGGTGCGAGCCACCCTGTCCAGCTACTAAGACTTCATCCATATTCCAGGGAGTTGTGGTGGCACACAGTATGACCTCTCCTGTAGTCTCAGCATCTTTCTAGGGTAAGTCTTTCAGCTGATGTCATCATCATCATTTCTCTGAGGCCAGATGTGCCCCCACCCACACGTCTAGTTTAAGCCTAGTGACTGTGCTGTGGTGGGTTGCTTTTGGTTGTGAAGGTTGATTCAGAACAAAATTATAGGCCAAGACCAATCCCTTGATACCTGTGCAGGGGATCTGGATTGGTCGCTGTGCCAGTGTGACCCATTCCTGTGTGATGATGTTGTGTGTCACCAACAGTCGCAGCTCCCCTGGCCTGCATGAGGACTCCGGTGACATCTTCGGTGTATCAAGGGCACAGGGGGCTGTCTGCTGTGTGACAGCGAAGCTGCCTCAGCTCCACTGAGAACTGGATTTCAGACGGAACTGAGTGGAGGGGGAGCAGCAGGCTGTTAGTACCTCAGAATTATGGCTGTGTAAGGACATGGACTTTGAATACCCCATGGCAAATAACTTCTCTTCAGTTGCTGGCTGACCCTCCTCAGACTCGAATCCCAGCTTGGGCTGAGGCTGAGAGGTGGGGGGGCCTGGGCAGTTGGCATGCAGAGGCAGCCTGGGTGTGGAAAACACACTTTGCCTTCCTCTGCACCCTGCGTGAGGGGAATTTGTGACACAACAACCAGGAGCCAGAGCAGCTGTTCATGGTTCAGGAAATGGCAAAGCAGTTAGCATAAATCAAGAAGAGGGAGAAAGAAGGAAAAGACTTAATTTCTCAATTTCTATTTCGTTTATGTATTCAATTACCAAACATCTGAGCTTCACTCCATGGTGGCTGTGGGATGCAGGAGCGGGGAAAGCCCAGGGCTCCGAGCTGGGCCCTGAGGATGCCCTTGATGCCACAGAGGTGCTCCCGTCCACCCTCACCCAGCTCCCGGACATGACATGGAGCTGCTCTCACCAGATAGCATCAGCAGGTTGCTGACTCACCCACTCAAACACATTCCCAACCTTTGATAAAATTCTAAAATGCTCTACATTTAATTACAAGGGCCACAGGGTGGCACTGAGCAGAAATGACGGAAGTTCCCCTGTTAACAGCTGTGGGCCACCAAAGCTTTCCACATCCCTGACCCCCACTCAAACCTGGGCCGACAGTATTGGACGTGTTGGTGATCCAGTGGATTCATGTTCAGAATCCCCGTGCCAGGCTTCTTTTCTCTCAGTTCAGAATTGCCCCGCTTCATTTGGTCCATCATCAGGCACTGCTGCATCTTGCTTGCAAATCCAAC